ATAAAAAATGAGAAATGGGACTTTAATATCAGGAAACACAACACATTTTGTCCACATTAGAATCAACAAAACTCCTAATATCTTGTCAGGAGCTTTAACTAAACTCAAATGCAGTCTAATCCTTCTATCTGGATGGCTTAAGACCACGAGAAGTAAGTGAGAGACTCGGTACTCTGAGAAATGAATGCGTATGTGGACGTAGATGATCCTGATGTTACTGCAGCTCTGGTCCTGCACAGATCCCAGGTTCCCTTCTGTAAAAGCAGAGGAGTTGGAGTGTTTTATGGGGGATCACATCCTCGTGAAGGACGAGAGGCTCATCACATCTTTTTCCACACAGCCTCTGACACCGGTCAGGGGTTTTATCACACGGGTGAATAAAGATGATGGAATGGTGAAGCTCCACGGTTTAGCTATGGACTGCGAGTACTCCAGGCATGTGGTACAAAGAGGGACGTAACCTCATCTACAGTATGAACACATACACACACACTCAGCTGATGGCTTTAACATCTGAAGTCCAGCTTTGCGTTTTACAGTCTTGGCTTGGCGGCAGAATTCCTGAAATAGATATCGCAGAGCCCCGAAGTGGGTGAGACTACAATGTCAAAGGTAATCTTTCTGGTCTTCATTTTTGCTTCAATTATTGAATCAGATTTTACGGCTGAGGCCTTCAAATGTGACTGAAGCAGTGAGATGGAGCACCATAGCTGTGAAAAGTTCTGCTCCGACCCAAAAAGTAGTTTGGTAGTTAATCATGATCCATCTTGGCTCTGATTCTCCCTCTTCTCTCCTCTGATCCCTGGTCGCTGCTTGTTGACCTGTAAAGCTATTATTGGGATGTATTTATAGTAGAGGCAGAGTAGGTAAGACTCACACATCAACAACAAGCTGATGGGCTCAGCTCGCCGCACAATAAAGCCCGTCTGTTTTCATCGACCTCCCAGGGTGACTCTAAGTGGTGTCACTCACCAGCACTGCGCTCCATTTAACAATGTCGCAGCATCCGCCACAGCATCGCACTTTGGTTATTTAATACAGCTGCTGGGGTGACATTGTGTCACCTCTTTGTGCGTATGTATTGTGGCAGTGATGACTACATAGCACCATGTATGCCCAATGTCGTCTCCTTCCCCTTTCTGCTCTGACAGCGTCACACTCTGAGGCTGCAGCAGCTGCTGACACCTGCCTCAAGATTTTGTCAACATGAGCAAGAGGTATTCTCAGAGTCTTTTTCAACTGGGGCTTCATGTGAGTGTCAGAACAGCTCAAGTCGCTGACCACATGTAGAATCTGTGTTAGAGAGCCGAGCCACCATTTGGTCAAAGCTAACTTCAGCTGCTTGGATCTGCAATCCCTGGACCGTCAAGGAGAGCAGAAGTTTAGACTGTATATGAAAATGGAAGCTCGGCCTTTCAGCTCAGCTCCCTCTTCACCATCACAGTCCAGCACCTCCATTACTGCTGACAGCGCACCAATCCACCGGCCTATCCAACAATTGTACGATATCCTGAATATGATCAAAACTTGTAAGCAGGACACTTGAGTCTGTGTAAACATTTTCAAAAAGCATGTGAGCCATCAAAATTCATTAAACCAGCATAACTTAAGCATTGCTTATGTTATTTCTTCACTCAGTAATCTGCTATTATACCAGAATGATACAGTTGCAGTACCGTCCTTGTCCATAAGGGGAATCACTCTTACATTTGAGGCATTGCTGCTGTGAAGTGTTCATTTTATTTATTTATTTTTTTGCTATTTTATTTCATTAGATTTTTTTTTAAATTATTTGTGTTTTTTTTTAATTTTTTAATCAGGTTATACTTTTTTATTTCTTTTGGGTCAACTTTGCTTTGTTTTATTTAATTAATCTTATTTGTTTCATTTTCTATTTAATTTTTGAATATTTATATTATTATATTATATTTATAAAAAAATCTATTTTTATCAAATTTTAGATATTTGGTTTCAATCCGTTATATTTTGTTATATCTTATTTTATTCATTTTTAAATTTATTTCAGGTATTTATTTTTATTTAATTTTTATATAATTTATTTCTTTTTATTTTATTTATTTTGTTACTTAATTTAAAATAATTTAATATTACATGCTTTAATTGAATTGAATTGAATTGAATTTTATATTTGTTTTCATTTTATTTATCTTTTTAATTTACATTTTGACAGCTGCACCTGGACAGGTCTCCCAAGTGCTAGCTGCCACACCAACAGTTTTTATTTTTATTTTTTAATTTTTTTTTTTTGACAAAACAAGAACCTTACCATTCCACCTGCACAGACAGCCATTACTATATATTTGTTTGTGTCCTTTATGGTAGGACAGTTTTAGACAACATGGGCAGTGTTTGGGAGAAACTAACTACATTGACACTTAGTTGAAATTTGGAGGTTTCCTTCTTCCTTCCACAACTTACAGTTACCAAACAGATGTTTAAACGCGTCCTCAGAGAACCATGATTCCCGTATCAGATTTGCTTTCCCCGCTGGTGCATCTGTTTGATAAATAACACACAAGTCTCCGGTTGCAGAATATCTCCAAAACAAAGTGCAAAAGCTCAGTTAATCTGTCCCTCTGTATCCACTGGCTCAGCGGGCGTGATAAAAAGCTTCACAATAGACTCACAATGGAGCCACTGTACCATCTGCCAGCATGGAGACTCACTGCACAGCTGCAACCACTGCTCTGCAAAATACACTTTGCATATACATACTTACTCTGCAGTGAAACACATCCATACCTCATTTGCCCTTTCTTGGAGAAACACTTATATCACCTTGGCAGAAACATGAAAACTATTGATCAGGTGTGAAGACAAACATGTTTAAAAACACACACACACCTACCCAAACACTTGTAGACCGACACAAATATATACACACTAATTGATGCACATGGCTATGCATGCAAACACACACAGATACACACATGCACCGTGCAGCATTGATTACTCCGCTGCATTAAAACCAGACATTAAACCCTGAGCTCCACGGCATCCAGAAGCGACACCTTAGCCCCGGATTTAATTTTGTGTGGCGGCGGGCGTTAGAAAAACACATGATGTAGCCAGTTGTTTTGGAGGGCAAATGGAGCAGCCATCATAAAGGCCGGTTTTATTAGCTGTTGCTTGATTTGTTCCTGCAGCCTGCGGAGCGACTCGCTAAATCAATGCGTCCAGCTGTTCTCCAAGCTCGCCGGGGCTCTCTGGACGCGCAGCAGGTGTATGGCCCCCTCGGCCCAGTCACACACACCCGCTCACATAACAAATAATAACGGCCTCCACACACGGCCCATCCATCACTGTTATGGCCCAGCCCGGGAGACCGCCACGCACACACGCACACACGCACACACACACACACACACACATACATGCACTTACTGACAGACTGTAAATGTGTATGTACTGTGTGTACACTTTCCTTAACACAGAGCACATGCACAAGCTCATACACAATCATGGAAATACACATTGACAAGAATTCCTGCACACACAGTTCACACACATACGTCTGTTTTTCTATACATATGAGGACGCAAAGTTGAGCCAAGAGGATTTTTTTGGCCTCTACCTCCAAAAGCATATCTAACTTTAACATATATACTAATTTAGGCCTTACTCTCAACTTTTTAGCTCCAAAAAGCCTTCTTTTACCTAAATACACAAAAGTCCCCATTTGTCAATAATGCCAACTTGTCCCTACAATGTCAAAAAACTGACACAGATACACACACAGTTGCTGAGCGACTGTAACGGTGTCCACACGGAGTTCCTGCACATGCTCAGACACCCCAAGAAAACACAAATACAAGCGCATTCATTCACACACATTTTGGTTTTTGCATCCATAAAAGGACCACTCACACGAACAATACCCTTGTCCTTAGATTAGCGCCGTAGCTCTGAAGGACATTACTTTTAAACCACTAATCCTTAGTCCTCATCAAGCCCACTATTTGAAGTCTTCATCCTCAGACTAGCAAAGATCTTAAACAGCAAGGACAAAGGGCCCTGTATTCAAACACGTCCTCAAATAGTGCAATCATGAGGTGGTCCTTAAGATTTGTCAGTGACATACTCAAACCTGCGAAGAAAAAACGTCATTGAATAGTTCATTTCTGTTCACACACATATTGGTATAGCTATTTAAATGGGGACATAATGCTGCTTATTAAAGATTGTGCAATAACAATTATCTTTTTAAGAGCACCTATCAAACTCTACATTTCAAAGTACATAATACAAATAACTTAAAATCAACAATTTTTTAAAGAAACAGCTACCTTGGATCACAAATCGGGAACTGTAAAAGACATTTTAAGTGAATAAAATCAGGATTTAAGACTAGACTTAAATAAAAGCCTCATCAGCCAGCCTTACTTTGTTATAGATGGATTCTGGTTGACTCGCTTCTATACTTACACATAAATGGAAATGAGTTGTTAAGCAATCATTCATGTGCACTCAAACCCAGCGCACGAGCACAGTGCACATTCACTTGGGCAAAAGATGTACATCTGACCTTCACACGCACAGCATGATACGTGTACGCTAGTTTGACTAACAGAAACATAAGTACTCTGACATGCAGTACACAGGAGGTACATGCATATGTCTAAGGTCGTAGACATGAGACGAACACAGCTACACACACAGACGCACACACACAGGGGTGATCTATCATAGTTATAGCTCGGCTCCACTCAGAACCTTTTTTTAAACAAGCAACTGAGTGAAGGGCTCGAGTCGATGAAGAAAAATGTTCCATGTGTTTCTGTCACCAAACTGTGCCCTGCTGCTGCGGTTGCTGCTGCTGCTGCATGCTCCACAAGATGTTTGGTTTAAAGGGCCAGTTCACAAGATGGAGTCATATGGACGAACACTCTGGTCTGGACATGCTCAACACATTAGGGATCTCCAGGATTAACAGGAAAATTGCTGTGTAAGAATTTAACCTGTAAGAAAACAGATTTGAGTGCTTCAAGATTGTCTGATTTTAGAGGAGGTAAAGATGTGGTTAAAACAGACATAAAATCTAGAAATTCTTCCACAAAGCCAAGTCAAAGAGGCTCATTTGAAGCTCAGAAACACAACAGCTGGACTACAGTGAGGCCTAAAATCAATCAGTCTTCCAAACAGCGAGGGTCCACATCTGCTGAAACTCAAAACCTGAGGGGGAGGAGGAGAGGTGATTCAGCAGGTGATGGCAGCAGACTTTACTAAAGAGTGAAACCCAGAGAAGGAGGAAAAAGAGAGGAGAGGAAGGAACAGAGTCAAAGGGGAGGGGGTGTTGCAGAAGCAAAGCAGGAAAAGAAAGAAGAGAGTGAGAGAAAGGGAAGAACAGGTGAGGCGGGGAGAGAATAGAAAGGAGGGGAAAGAAAAGGGGGGCAAGGAAAAAGACAGGAGCAAAATGTGAAGGAAAGGATTAAAAGTAGTGCAAGGAAATTCAAAGAAAGTAGAGAAAAGTGAAAAAGTGAGAGTTAAGGAACTTGGGAAGGAAAATAAGAGAAATAGAGAAGAAAATGACAAATGAGATGAATGAGGCGCCATGAGGAAAAAAAAGTGAATAAACAGGAAGAGGAGTAGTTCAAGGGTGAACCACTGACTTGAAGGTGGACATCATGACAGCTCCAAAACAAGCTCCCTTACTGAATGGCTGCAGTAACGGTGATAAAGCCTCCCACCTCCATGTAAACAGATGTAACATGGACTAAACTGTGACATCGTCTCTGCCACTATAATAGATTTTTATCATGTTGAAATGGGCAAATATTGTTTCTTTTCTGAGATATTCAATTTCTAGTGAGTTATTTTACGACATCAAAAGGGATATACAGGACCATCATTGACAGCTCCAAAAACAGATGAAACGCTTAAGGTGCTTTTCCACTGCAGGTTATTTAAGTTGAGAGGGAATGACAAACGAAAAAATCATAAACACTCAAGAATCATTGAATTTTCTACGAACTCTACCAATGTTCAAGAGAAACAGATAAAAAGTAAAGAAACAAGATATATGTGGAAACAGAAGAGGGTTAGACAAAACAAAAGGAGAGGAAAGTAAAGCAGGAGAGAGATTAAGGTAGTAAAAATGATGAAAATTTAGGAGACATGAATGTGGCAGGAAAGTGAGGACACTGAAGTAGTAAAATTTGGGAGCAGTTACAGCAGGAGGAAATGAGATGTGAGAGGAGGTACAGCAGGAGACACAGTGATCCTGTGATATGAATTATACTCCGCCTTATTTTCAGATACTGCTTTTCATGAAACTGTAGACACACTCAGCCTCCTTCCCACCCAACCAGACGCTCCCTGGAGTGAACGGCAGTCACCACTACGTCAAATCCAATGACGTTTTATATAGCAGCAGGAATGTGTGTGTATGCATATACATTAAGTGTGTGTGTGACCTAGCTGCAGAAAAGCAACTGCTCTGGGTAGAGGGACATATCTGCTTCAGTTTTTAACAGCTGGTCCCTGCAGTTGCCCTTTTCCACACATGAAAGGGCAACAGTCACAGAGTGTGTACACACATGTGTGTGTTTGTGGGACATGAAAGACAAAAGCAGCAACAGGCATCTCTAAGAGATATTCAGTACCTCGTAAATCAGCTTGGTGCACGGACACATGAGTGTGTGTTGAGAGTGAGAGTGTGGGAAAGTATGATTCATACAGATCTATTTCTAAACTGCTGTGTTCGTATATATAGATATAGATATATAGATAGATATAGATATATAGATATTAATTAATTTGTGTTTGCTGTGAGTGAAAGCCAAATCTAACAGTTGCAACAGGATTATTTCAGTTGTCTATTTTTCTATTTTGATTAATATCTGAGGTATTTATGGTTAAACACTGTCACTCATAAGCTGCTGTTTTCGTACAGTAAATTTCAAAGGTGGTCAGATTATTATCTTATTCCAAATTCTCAGTTATTGCAAAATATGTACGGTTAATATTCCTTTAATATTTAGATGCTGATCACAAGTTTACAAGACATGTATGACATGTATGCTGTGTCTGCATCCACAATGTCTTTGAAATGAAACGTTGTGCCAAATATGCAGCATACCTCTGCCTGACCTACATGTACCTTAAAGCTCCTAGGATCAGTTTTTCCCTGGTAATGAAAAAAGCTGAAATCCATCATGCAATCCAAAGCACATGGAGCCATTATCACAGAAAGAGTTTATTATTTATTTATTCATAATTTTTTTTATTTATTATTTTTTAATGCCTAAAACTGCAGCCAGAGATTTCGCATCACAGGAAGTGAGTTACAACATTGTCACTTTGCGCTCTGGTTTTGGACCCAGAAGCACAGACAGACACTGTTGTGGAAAGTCCAACATAAACAATGCACAGGAGACATGATGAGATCTGAAGAACAGCCTGGGCGTCTTTAATTGTACAGATGTAGAAATCAGTACAGATGACAAATAGAGTCTCGACCAAGACCCAAGGAAGCCTCCCTAGCTTTACTTCTACTCTCTTTTATGCTGTTAGGTGTGTGTGTGTGTGTGGGTGGGTGTGTGTGTATGTGTATGTGTATTCTCCAGAAGGCCCCTCATGATGACATGTCTGCCCCACGACACTTTGTTTAGGTTCGTCTTGACCCTGGCAGAGATTACATGTTCCAACAGACAGATAGTTTGGGCTCCTGCAAGACAGCCTTGCTTACAATCTCATGGTCGTGGGGCAGCAGGAGCAGGCCAACCTAGATTAGTTGTGGCTTCTTACTAAAAGATAATTACTCTATATTTCTTAACCTAAATGTATGAAGACATTCTCCTACACATCCCCCCTTTGAAAGTTCTTACTTTCACAAAAAACCTAATCATCATATCAAACACTAAACATCCTTATGTGATTAAAGAAACAAAAATCAGTACCATACCATACCATAGCTGGGATCATTTCAAATTATATCAGCGTGTAAGACTGAAAACCCTGCTCGGCTGTTTCAGCAGGGAAAGAATCTTACGGCCCCGCGCCCTGGCGACCATCCATTTCCTGGATGCGCTGACATAATTTCATTTGCATAGAAGAAAGTGTCCACATTTGATAATATCATTACATTACATTACACAAACATGTTGTTTGTGTTGCTCAAAGTCCATTGCTCATCTTCTTCTCCTTCAAAGTCCAGGAACCGTTCAGGTCCCTCAGTCCCTCCTTGATAAATCACACACTGTGCCAGCTGTTTTGGTGGCATTTCCTGTAGTTCATGGGCCAGTGTTAGGTCCACCATAAGTCCCATCTCCTCCGTCAGCCGCGATAACAATGTCTCCAAAGGATGTGTACGATGCGACATGTGAGAAAGGAAATCAGAATTAGGGCTATCGCAGCACTCATGGCTGGGCCAAAACGGCTCTCATTCATCTAAAATTTAGACCACCCAGTCCATTAACAGGCCCCCCTTACCAGCATTCTCCCACATTTCCACTTTAAACTTTTCTTTACCCTTCACCACTTTCAGTCCATCAACAGGCCCCCCTTACCAGCATTCTCCCGCATTTCCACTTTAAACTTTTCTTTATACCCTTCATAGCTTTAGAAAAACCTCCCCCAGGGCTCGTTTTGTTAGAAACGTATCTGCAACAGTACTTCCAAAACCTTTTAAGACACATCTTTTCTCTTCACATCCTCTCTCATTCTCACATTACCACACACAAAATACTTTTTAATTTTATTATCTATTTAACCTCATTGTAAATCTGTAATAATCTGTGAATGTTGGCATGGGTTCTAGCTCTGTCTGGAGTGGTGTGGATTGTGTTTTGGGTTGCATCGTACTCACCCGCGATAACAATGTCTCCCACTTCTTCTTCTCACAGCTGTACTGGCACCAGTTTGACCTTCACCCTCATTGTTGTCTCCAGTCTCTCTCTCGGTCTCTCTCCACACATTGTCCCTCAGCAGCAACACCAGGAAAACAGTTACTTTCAGGACGAGTGCTACAGTCATTCTGGGAGTGTCTCTTATCAAGTCATACTTCCCTTGTTTTTTCCTGGGCAGTCAGTGGTAGATGACGCCACATCATATTGCCCTCTTCTTGCACTGAAGTAGAGTTCACCAGGACCAAAGTGTTCAGGTCTTCTCCTCGTTCCTTGTGCCACCCTCCTCAAAGGACGGTGATGTACACCTGATGCTCTGGCTCGACTGGCCTCCACCTCTTGACTGGGATCAGATTTTGGCACTCCTCCTGCTAATCGATAGATCTTTGCATCGTAGTTAGCTGCCTCATATATTTAATTCACTAATTTTCAGCTGCTCAAGCGAAAAACGTAATTATTTAGCCGCAGTAAAGCATAGCTTTGTAAGTTAGTCAATCATGCAGTGAAAGATTTATCTCAGTGCTTTTGATTGTGAAAGCTCATAAGCGCAAGTAGCAAAGCATCTTCCTATAGGTTAGTGTTAGTGCAAATTCTCTGATCAGATATTTACTTGAGAGATTAACTTTCTTCCCCAAAATAATGTACCAATTCATGCAGTGAAAGATTTATTTTGACTCCAAGATCTTTTGATGGTGTTGCTTCCATCCATCGACTGAACCCGTCATCATTACAAACATGTAACATATCCCTTGGCAGTTTTAACCATGTCCACATTGTCTATGAATAGATTTCTAAAAGCATCTCTCTGGAACTGGAAAGTGTCCCACTACTGTTTTATTGTTCTCTTCAATTTATCTAACAAAACACATATCACAATGACCCAAAAGTTTATCAACTATTGTCAGCATATTCTAAAAATGTCGTTTTAATTGTCTCATCATCTCCCCCCTTGCACAGTGTGAATCACTGTGAAAGTCAGATCCTAAGTTCGTTTGTTAATACTACTGGTACAAAAACTAGTTATTTGACTCTAAACCATTTTCTGTGGCCTTACTGGCCTTTGATAGCTTTCTATTACTTTTACATTAGATGGCACACCTGTCAGGAGTGTATGTGGATTCAGCACAGCTGCATTTAGATTTATCAGTATTAAACTAACAGAACAGGAATGTTACAATGCTAATGTCACGATATTTACTTAAAACTATAAACCATAACTGTCTACTTACACACCTTGCGGTGAGCACCAAATTTGAATGTTACTTCTACATAGGGCTCTTTGGTCTATAAGGTCAACAGGGTTAAAATTAAAACCAAAAATTAACTTTTTCCATCATCCACAAAAATCACACTGTAGTAAGCCACCACTTTCACATTGTCTGGGCTGGGGCTCCCCACCACAGCTCCAGCCAGAGACGTCCCTGGTCTGGGCAGTTGTCAAAAATGTCTGGTATGATCACATCTCCAGCAGGTCTATAGACGTCACACATCCGTCAGAATTCCACTCTCTCCCCCTGCCGGGATATATCCTCTCTATGGAGCAGGGTTCTGTCTGAGGATAAACATTCACAACAGGTGATTAAACAGGTTACTGTCACAGGTTTTACCGCAGTTAGCCTCTGCACGGTCTGCATCGCTGGGTCTCTTTTGCAGTGTCTTCCTTAGAGGTGGCCACCATCGTGGCCTGAGTCTGTACTCCACATCACATCACAATATGCATTGAACTCACTCCCATCTATCATGGGATTCGTCATCCAACCTTGTTTTGCCTTGCGCAGAGACTCCTCCATCGTCTTAGTTCCCAGCAGTTGAGCCAAGAGTGCTTTCATGTCTGGTGTAGTCAACATTTTCTTACAGTTCATCCTCAAAAACTCGTATCCATCTCCCTGCCCCCTGTTCAGTTTGTGGTAGTCTGGCAATCAGCCCAACAAGGTGTGTGGTTTTCCACAGCACAATTTCACGAAAACTGTCAATTACCTTTTCAAAACATATGGGACAAAATAGCAATGATTATAAATCATTTGGAAATTCAAAAGAGATAAATAAGAAAAATAAATAAATAAATAATAATAATAATAATAAGTTTAAAGGCAACCTAAGATAGAAAAGTTTTAGTTTTTATTCTATTCTTATTTATTAGTTCAAAAGATCATCGCATGAGTAAGAAAAAACAAATAATATAAAGTATGAAAATGACACAAATCTTTGAACATGTCCAGTACTTTTAGTTCCATATCTCTTGTTTTTGCGTGTTTTACTTTATCTTTGTGTTTATGGCCTTAGATTCGCTGCTCCAAATCCTCACACACAGCCAAATCAGATGTGCCTCCCCTAGGTCATAAAAATTCAAACCCCTTGACTCATTGTTCCCATTTCTTTGTAAGTTTTTGGATATTTTTAAGTGATCAGGATATTTACACCCTACCAGTGCAATTGGAGTTAAACTAATCTTCCCTTTCTGATCATGGTTTTTGTAAAATTTATTATTCAAATGAGCACACACATCAAAACTTGATCCCCAGCAGTTTTGTAAAATTCCCAAAAAATACACAGTATAAAGCCTTTGCCTTAACTGCAGTTCTATAGCAATAGTCAGTATTGATATTAACAGCTTCAATAATATTTAAAAAAACACAGTATTTTGGCAAAAACAGCAGATGTATAGAAGCAACTCCTAGATTTGAAGTTTTAGAAGTTTTGCACTTGTGGTACCTCATTTCTTTTTCCCCTTTTTGTGTCTTTTATACTTTTACAAATATTATTTCAGCAGCTTTAACACAGAAAATTGGTTACGGAGCATAAGACGTGTTCACAACAAAAAAACCATAATATTTGAGCATAAGCTAAAACCTTCATATCAGGAGTGTTCATCATGGTACTAGGAACAGAACCTCTTTCCCAGGAGTATTTAACCTTCTATGTCTCAACTGATAACATGACCGCAATGAGCACAGTATTTACATAAACAACTATGAAATAAACACAAGTGAGGAAAACACAGCAATCTTTGACTAACATAACACACACACAGATGCAGAGTCTGGCTGTGAACACTGCCAGAGAACTTAGTTGACACAGAACAAAACAGACACACACAAACATCCAATCAACCCACACACTTCACTTTTTTATCACACAATGGTATACCCTTTCACACGTGTTTGAAGTCAAAGTCAGTCACTGGAGTCAGTCAGCAGTCTTCTATTTTAATTCTTGTTTTGATTTCTTCAATTTTTCCAATTTGTGTGATTTTTTTTCAATTTGTGTGATTCTTCTACAATTGGTCAGGAGATATGGGACGTGCTTGTTCAATTGGGATCCTTGAATAGGTTTTTCAGCCTATCCTTATTGACCTCTTTTTCTATCTCCTGCTCATCAAGCCAATCTGTATCTGTAATTTAAGTCCAATTATAACACTGATTTTGTGAGGTCTTTGACATATAAAAGATATATATATATATGTACATTTCAAATATCTACTATTCCGTCATTATACTTATTCGGCCCTCTAGAGTTCTGGATCAGAATTTAGGAGGATATATGCCACTTTCGTTCTCCTTTTGGCTTTTTCTTAAGCCTCAGCGGAACTTCGCATGACAAATCCACTTTCTAGTGGAGTTTTCCAGAAAGAAAATCCACGTATGTATTACGAGATGAATCTGCTCGTCCATCAGCTGCCACCTTTCAGAGCTCATGAAAGATGGTCTAAAATTCACAGTTCAACAATGGACAGACACACTCGTGTCTGCCCCTCCCCTTGTTATCCCAAAAATTACCCTGAACCTTTTTATCTCCAGGCATTCAGCCTAAAAAAAAAACACATCACAACCCGGGCCCGGCTGTCTCCCCAAGCTACTGGCCAGTGCTTTTCTGCACCCAGCCTATAGCTTCACATATGACAATCTCACACCTATAGCAGCATGAGGCAATCTCACACTCTGAAGAAGACGAAGTGCTTCTGCACCCAGCCGATAGCTTCACGTGACAATCTCACACTTATAGCAGCGTGAGGCGGTCTCACCCTTTAGGAAGACGAAGTGCTTCTGCACCCAGCCTATAGCTTCTCACACATAGAACAGCCTATGGCTTCTACATATGGCATCTCACATATGCAGCAGCCTATAGCTCTACATGTGGCATCCCTCATATGCAGCAGCCTATAGCTCTACATGTGGCATCCCTCATATGCAGCAGCCTATAGCTCTACATGTGGCATCCCTCATATGCAGCAGCCTATAGCTCTACACGTGGCATTCCTCATATGCAGCAGCCTATTGCTCCTCATATGGCATTCATCACATGCAGCAGCCTATAGCTCCTCATATGGCATTCATCACATGCAGCAGCCTACAGCTCCTCATATGGCATTCATCACATGCAGTAGCCTACAGCTCCTCAAATGGCATTCATCACATGCAGCAGCCTACAGCTTCTCATATGGCATTCATCACATGCAGCAGCCTATAGCTCCACATATGGCATTCATCACATGCAGCAGCCTATAGCTTCTCATATGGCATTCATCACATGCAGCAGCCTATAGCTTCTCATATGGCATCCCTCATATGTAGCAGCCTACAGCTCTACATATGGCATCTCACACATGCAACAGCGTGAGGCAATTTCACACAGTCAACTGCAGTTTCTCTTAAATCAGCTGATATATATTCAATTTCAATTGGCTTCCTCACAAATTTAGCAGACTTTGATCAGCTGACTGCATGCATGCAGTTTTCTCAGACTGTCTTCATTCCCACTGTCTCCTCTTATTTCTATTCTAGGTTCTTTGATTCGAAGAGGACAGAGAACAGTAGTCCGCACCACCTCACAAGGAGAAGAACTCTCAACCAAATTTTAGGAAATATCCTACCTTTTTCTTTTTTTGTGCGCACAGAGTGTCCTTATCCCATGTGAAGTTCGCAGACCCATGGTCCCTTGTCCCCCGAAACGAATTCTGGCTAAAGCTCGCCAATTATGTTGTAGAAAGTCCAACATAAACAATGCACAGGAGACATGATGAGATCTGAAGAACAGCCTGGGCGTCTTTAATTGTACAGATGTAGAAATCAGTACAGATGACAAATAGAGTCTCGACCAAGACCCAAGGAAGCCTCCCTAGCTTTACTTCTACTCTCTTTTATGCTGTTAGGTGTGTGTGTGTGTGTGGGTGGGTGTGTGTGTATGTGTATGTGTATTCTCCAGAAGGCCCCTCATGATGACATGTCTGCCCCACGACACTTTGTTTAGGTTCGTCTTGACCCTGGCAGAGATTACATGTTCCAACAGACAGATAGTTTGGGCTCCTGCAAGACAGCCTTGCTTACAATCTCATGGTCGTGGGGCAGCAGGAGCAGGCCAACCTAGATTAGTTGTGGCTTCTTACTAAAAGATAATTACTCTATATTTCTTAACCTAAATGTATGAAGACATTCTCCTACAACACACGCTGCATAATTATTGAGTACACCAATTTTGAGCTTGTGTAGTCCAAAAATACAAAAGTGTTGGCTGGCTTATGCGGGGAAGCCGATGAAGCTTTGTCCAGAGCAGTGGTCTCTGTGTCAGCTGATTTTCTGCACAGGTCTGCAGTGATTACATTTAAGCTGAGTTTGCAGGCGAGTTCCTCTTCTGTTTGTTTGTTATGCCGGGGGGAATCCGATGCAAATCTGTCACTTTAAAAAGGTGGATTTGCAACTTTTCAGTAGCTGTGGCCAAGTAGACGAGTAAGTCATCTTATAGTTTGTAGTTTAATCCCCACTTCCTGCTGAACACACATTGAAGTGTCCCAGACTTTCCCCAATTTTCCCCAGACAGCATAGTCTGTGGGATGAGAATTAAAATGAATGATTAGGTTCTTCAAAACTGGACTTTAACGTTTGCCGCTGAGTTTGGTTGACTTTTCTTTATCTAATCCTTTCTCCTTCAAAAATTGATCCGACACTCTGCTTTGTAGTTGTCCTGTAATTCTGTAGACAAACAGACTTAGATTTGGAGTAAAACAGTCTTTTTATCAGGAGAGGGGCTGCCTTGTGTTAAAAAAGGAGTAATGCTGCTCATCACTGAGTTATGCTGCTGTATCTGTGAAAAAACTATAATGAAAGGAGTTCTGGTTTCAATGCAAAGGTTTGTGAAATCTCACATTACCACAAGGAAAGTTGGCTGTATTGTCCATGGTGTCTTGACCTCATTCAGTTGATGTTGTATACATTGAACATACAAGCTCTATTTCAGCGCTCAGAAGGTTGAAGTGTCAAATTCTGACCTCACAGCGCAACTTTATTAACACTGACACACCCACATTTGGAAAAAGAAGCTTGATTTTGCTTTAAGTAGTCTCACTACTGCACAGGCGCCATCTCTGATTGGTTTTCGGGCTACCTATTAATGATCAGACAGGTCACTGTGACTCATTCCTTGTTATTCTTTTATGCAGCTTTTCCAAATAACAGTAAAGCGTGTGACAAATTTACATTTAGCATGTTGTAACTCAGAGCATTAACACCGACTTTTCATTTCCTCCGCCTAACAATCAGGCGCTGGGCTGACTTCTTCGGCAGCTCGCTTTACAGGCTGATACATTATATAGTGTGAACCAGGTCAGCGGTTATAATGGCAAAGCAGCAGCCAGGCAGTGAGGAGGAAATGTCAGAGAGGAGTATGAAACAGATGAGCTTCAATCTACACAGGCCCATACATGGAGAGGAGGGGTGTGGTATGTGTGCTTGAATAGTGTGTACACAAAACCCCATTCAAAAAGATAGAAATTCTACTATTTGGAATTGTGAGCTTGTATTTCGACGGTCTGTTGAATGGCAATGCTTTCAGTTATTGTATAGATTTAAAGGTTAATCCACACCTGTTGTATTGATGACAAGCTTTACACCTGTTTATGTTCACTAAAGCTACTGACTTTGTTGGACGAGCCGCAGGAGCTGCATGAAACAAACTGCAATGATGAAGCGGATCATTATAAAGGGAGAATGTGCGATAACTTAGTGACAGAAAAGGCTGCAATTTGTGATTTAAACATTTGTGATAGGGGTGGGGAATCACCAGTGGCCCCACAATACGATATTATCACAATACTCGGGCCACAATACGATATTTTTGCGATTTTTAAAAATTTGTAATACAGTGAGTATTGCGATGCAATATATTGTGATCTATACAATTTTTCAACTGTTTAGCTAATTTAGCATTTGTCTTTCCTTTATGTTTGCCTTATTTACACAGTATTTTATCTTCATGTGGCACATCTTGCAAACCTTATTTGTTGTACGAACTTTCTCCTGCTCTTTGATGTCACCTCTGCCAACCTCACTGGACAGACAGTTCATTATATTTTTTTCATTATCATAGATTTGACTTCATGTTAACAATTAATTTTAAAAAGTCGATACTTGGTAAATGTGACAATACAGTATATCACCAGACAAAATATTGCGATACTATACTGTATTGATTTTTTCTCCCACCCCTAATTTGTATGTTATCTGTCCATTGGCTGTTTCAACATTTAGTGCATGCATTTGCAGCACTTGCATTTCTTTGTTTGGTAACATGACTATCCAACACACAGGTCGCAGAGTGACTAACATTGATACTGACAAGCTAAACTGGTGGTGAAACAAAGCTAAATCCACCATATGTTAATCTTTGGCAACATGATTGGATTCAATGAACACCTGTGACAGCACAGACAAAAGTTTCACGATTCCCTGCTAGTAAAAGCCCAGTTACGTAAAGAAAATAACGAAAGCACAGCAGAGCACAACCAGAGGTTTTAGGGGTCGGTTTCAACATGCCGTCTGGATGATCAGACTAAATGTGGATATTTGTGAGTATAAGTGTTCACACCCTACATTAACATTCATCCTCAAAGAGTATCCAGTGAAGACACTGCACATTATATCTATTTTTGTATTTTCAACATTCAAACTGCATCAACTAAATATCTGCATGCTTTAAATGGAGACATACATATTTCAGAACTAAAAAGATAGGACAAGATAAAATATGTTAAGATATGATAAGATATGATAAGATGAGACGTGACGAGGTAATACTTTCTTGATTGCAAGAGGGAAAATGTTGTTGTTCCAGCAACATATTCAGGAGGTAAGATAGCAACAAGAACAAAAAAATTGAACTCTGAAAAATAGTAAATAAAGAAAAGATAAAGGAATAAGAGGTAAAATGAGTGGAACATTCAACAGTTATTCAGAGGTTAGAATAAATAAGAGTTATGATGGGTGGTAAAGACATATAGTAAGGTGAGTAGCAGATTTATCCAGATACACACAGCATGTTATTACTTTATTGAAAAACTGCATGTGCCTCGGTAACCATGCTATATTCATTATTCTGTTTAATATACTGCAATCTCAAATCACAATACTGTCCAATATGACTGCCATTGCACAATTTTACCAAATAGAGCAGCACTTATTGCAAATACTGATGGCACTCTGGTGGCTCATTAGGGGGGGTTGCTAGAAATAAACTGTGGAGAAACATCCCTGGTTATTTTGCAGTTGCCAAACAATCTGTCATTGAAAAGAAATGCTCAGTTTGGTTTCACTGAGGACTGACCCCTTCACACAGCTTGCAGGATAAGGGAGGGAAGGCTCAAGTCTTTCTTGATGTCTCAAAAAACACATGAACTGCAGTACTGAAGCCAGACTCGCATTGCAGCAACACAAACCTGCTCTTGGCATAATTATGAAAATAAGAATAAATATAAACTCACTTTGAAAACAACAAACTTTGTACTGATGGGTTATCATGTTGAAGTCAGGCTGATATCTGATTCAACAGATTCAGAGATTTGCATTTGCATACATACTGTCGTTCAAGACATGCTTGGAGTATTCATGCCTGAAACTGGCTCTGGCTAAACGCTGATTAAATTCCACCCACAGAAGCCCAAGTTTCCTTTCAGCCACGGCTTCTGCTGTGTGAAAACATCAGGCTACACCTATAAGGTGGCTTAGATGTTTAAAAGCCCGCCTGTATCCTTTAATAGCTCAGACTGCATCTCAAAACAACAACACCTTCGGTCAGAGCAACAGATTAACACTTAGCTTTTGTTTCCTGTACGGTGCAGCTAACAGAGGGTCTCTCACATCATCTGTCTCTGAATCTATCATCACCTAACTGCTGCTTTCTACCAGACAAAATAAACCATAGAGGCCAATCATAACACTGAAACATTTGGAAACAACCTGTGCAATAAAAGGGGATTTTCTCAAGACTTAGTTCTGTGGGTGAGCTGGGGAGGTGACTTGCCTTCGCCCCCTCTGAACTCCCTCCAAAATATAACACCCTACCTCAGTGATTTCATGACAAGGCTTTGTTATAGAATAAATTTTATACTTCCTCAGACAAGTGACAATGTTAATAGAAATATGAAGACTTATGTGGGGATGTCATGCAGTATGGGGCCTGAGGTATGAGTCACTCGGCAGGTCAGTTTCCAGGGTGCGGTTTGCTGCATTCTGAGGCGCTATACCCTCTCGGCGTCTACTGTACTTACATAAAGGCAGAAGATGTGCTATTATAGAGGGAACCTTTAAAAAGGTCAAAATGATAAACGTCCACGTGAAACATGTGACAAGTCATGAGTGACATGTCCATGCAATGTTGGTGTTCAGTTTAAACCTGAGCTTCTTTGGTCTATTACAATTACACTTAAACTACACTTAAGTAAAGTGCATGTATGCTGTAAATAGGTGCAGCTGAAAAAGTAAAAATATCCTGAAAAAGTTCATTTTTCCCCATGATTTCAGTCAAAAAGTGAAACTTCTACACATACAGATTTTTTACACACAAAGTGAAATATTTCAAGGCTTATTTTGTTTGATTCTTGATGACTATGGCTTAAAGAAAATCAAAAATACACAATTTCAAAAATTTAGAATAACACAAAAGAAGGATTAATAATACAGAATTGTCGACCCTAAGGAAGATTTGTGTTCATTTATCTTCTCAGTACTTGGTCAGGGCTCCTTTTGCACAAATCACAATATCTGATCGCCTCCATGCCTCTTCAGTAATGACCTTCTGTGGCCTACCCTACTTGAGGAGGGTGTCAATGATTGTCTTCTGCACAATCAACAAGTCAGCACTTTTTCATATCTGAATCTTTTGAAGGATTTGCTTCTTCTGTGAAAAAATCTCCTTTCTGTGTGAAATTCACAGATCCAGCTGAATTTGAACCCAAATGATATCAAAACCTTTTTGGACAAAGTCTACCGTTGTCTACCTGTACCTTTATCCCAGAAACTATATATCAGTGGACCTCTGTGTGTTGGAGCATTTGTCTAGGTACTTCTGTTTCACACATTAAAGACATGTTGATTCACACTGAACAAAAAACACAGCTGTCTCTGCAGTTATTTGTATTTATCAAATGTCTCCATCCAGGTAATACTTATCTCTTTTGTGATGTTTGTTTGGGTTTTATGTCTACCTATCTGAGTATTAATCTGTGGTTTATGTATTTGTTTATCTTGGTTCCAGGTTTTTCCCACATATAGGTTGTTTATTGTGTTGTGCAGCGTTAGTTAAGCCCTGCCTGGTCCCTGTCATAGTCCAGTAAAGAGCTGCTATCTTTGTCCTCTCTGACACAGCTTGGATTCAGTTACCTTAATACCCTGCAGGATCATCTTGCTCTTTCATCACTATGGCCTTTAAATATGTGTAAGCAACAAAAGTTGACCAATATGTTGTTAACAACAACAGGATGGGCTTATGCGCCTCCCATATGTGACACAAATATGAAGAAAAAATCGGCCTCTACACCACAAACAGAAGGTTAGGGCTGTTTTTACCACCAACAGCTATTCACAGGGCTAACAAACAGTAACAGAAACCAACATGATGTCTTTTTAAGCTGTTTTTGACTGTTCTAAGTGAAATCCAACGAGGAAAGGACACTAAACCAACTAAAATATCCACATTTTTTAAAGTAATGTAATTGGCTGCAATGTGTAATCACAAGTGAACTCTGTCCAAACATTGTGAGGCATTTACGCACAAAATTTAACAGGAAGTCTTAGTCAAGGCACCAAAAATTTGATGCACCGGCAGAGAGGTTTAATTGAGAGTGCCCAAAATAAGCACATTAATTGGGGTATTTTCCCCAAAAAACTTTAGCCACAGACAGCAATACAGACCCCAACTTACTCAAATAATGCAAACACACGATATATTGATTTATTCAAACTTTCATTGTGCAAACTTTTAAAAGAAATCCAACCTACATTGGAATAGTGTAAAAAATGAATGCCTTGAAAGGTGGTGATTAAGAATTTGCAATACTTTTTAATAGACTTAAATTTTAATTCAGTGGCTTTTAATACATTTCAAGGCCCGCAGATAAGAAAAAAAAATGCCACCACAATGACTATTTGACTTATAAATGGTATTTTTGGCCGTGATCATTTCTTTAATGTAAATGTCCGTATTGGTGAGAAAATCCCAGCCTACTAACGGGTTGGTACCTCGTGCAGTGGGTCCTAAGTAGGTCATTACTACAGCTACTGGGGCTCAAGCCGGATAGAAAAACCTTGGGTGCATTGTGTGCATTATGAAGAAATTCATCCTATGTAGTGTTATGTTCACTTACTTCATGTAGGGTTAGTTATAGGGGGCATGCAAGACTATATTTTAAAGCAAACTCAACAAAAGAACAAGGCCATTGTCTCAGTATTTCGAGACCCAAAGATGCTTCGAGTTTCAGCTGCTGCCCTTAGGACATGGTCCAGACAGGGGCTCTCATACTTAATACAATACAGTTTTTCACAAATAGCAAGGTGCTTGACCTTCTTTTGGACCAATCCCAGAGGAAACACTCAGCTATAAAGACCCCTGAAGACTCACTAAAGACTTCAAACAAACTGAGAAGAGTCACCAAAGCTGAGAAGCAGAAACAGAGGGAGCAGGGTAAAGATTTTTTCATAGGGAGGCACACATCCGAGGCAAAGCTGAAGAACTACAATGAAGATCGTTTTATTTTTACTTTCCATGATATTATGCATAATATCCACAAGATGTAGCCAGCTAACTCTGAGCGACTGTGGCGCAGAGGCGCGGCGTCCACAAGTCAGTGACATCTCAGTAACTTGTGGTACTTCTTCCATTGGTCTTGCGATTCAGATCTGCCCGGTTATCTACACTGGCTACAACGACTCTCTTCTGATCCTGAACCACATGTTGGACCCGTCATGTAGAGCAGTCCTTGATGATTCTGTGTCTCCACCTGTCGCTCGCTTTAACTTCCCTCTGAATATGACCCATGCATGTGGAAGCACATTCAGGACCACCAGTGCTGCCGGGACAGGCATTTTCTCCGACTTCTCCAACATCCAGACGGTCAACATCAGCGGGGTTGTCCGATCGGTTGATCCTACAACAGGCACGATCACTTATAATGCTGAGCTGAAGTACTACTACTCTTGTGCCTATCCCCTTGAATACCTGGTCAACAATACACAGATTGATGTGTCGGCCTCCTCTATTGCAATCAAGGACAACAATGGTAGTTTCATCAGCACCTTGAGCATGGAGCTCTTCTGGGATTCCAACTTCACGAAACCACTCATCATGCCAACTTTGGGGGTTGAGTTGAGGACCAGCATATACGTTGAGGTCAAGGCCACCAACTTGACAGGGCAGTACCACGTCCTGCTAGATCGATGCTACGCCTCCATCTCCCCACTTCCAACCAACTCCAGCTACTTCAATCTCTTCGTCCCCTGCTCAAGGGATCAATTCACCAAAATGATTGAAAACGGAGACAGCCAGAGTGCACGCTTCCGTTTCCCGGCTTTCCGTTTTATCGAGCAGCAGAATGAGACCGTGTCCACCTACTACCTCCACTGCATCACCCGGCTATGTGAAACCACCACCTGTAGCACCTTCAAACAATGCAACAACAGGAGGAAGAGGAGCACCCTGGACACATCTGCAGCTGGCATCAGCAAGACGTACACCATCACCTCATCGGAGATCGTCACCAAAGCTGACACCAGTGGATCCAAGGAGAAGCCCCTCCATGCTGAAGAAGAGGAAGACTCTGCTGTCGGGCTGGGTGTGGCTGTTGGTGTCCTGGCTTTTGCTTGCATTGTTGCCCTTAGTGTTTCAGCTGTCTTTTACAAAAAGCTCAGGAACTAAGGAGGCATAAACGCAGAGTACTTGCCTCAGCCTGTGGGCAAAATCCTTTGAGGTGTACTGTATCTGCTCATTGATTTAACTTTTCTGGTAGAGGACAGGGGTCAGCTCATCACTACTGGGAGATCTTTGTATGTCTGTAACTGTAGCTCTAACTGTGTATCACTCCAGGAGGGATAGATGGGAGAATGGTGCATCTTTTAAAGATTCAGTAGATCTTTTTGTTAGTGTTTCAAGTTACTTCTTCCCAAAATGGACAAAGAAAAGCTATAAGTGTTAATGCATGTCTGCACTTTTTAAGCTTTCACAAAAAATATATATATATAAAAACAAATGGTAACTGGAGGGGAAATTATTCAAAAACAGGACAGAGATCTCAGACTGTATATGTGGAATGACAGGTGTGTGGGGTGATTTGAAAGTGAAGTCAGAGTACCTTTCAAAGTATTATCTCTCTAATTTATTGAATTCTTCTCTTTGCTGATAAGCAAATGAAGCTATTAAACTGACAAAGTTACATTGAATAAATCTGTTTTTGTTTGTTTTTCATTCACTACAGTTTTTCTTTATAATCCATGTAAATCCATTTGTCATGTCTATAAAGCACCTTGGGCCCCACCACCCTGATGCATATCTCCTTCAAACAGTTGATTAATTTGCTGATGGATAAAATACACAAATGTGGAGACAGGTTCATCATGATGTATCACCATTATAAGAACAAACCTTCCCTTGTCTGTTAACCATTCTGATTTGTTCTCATTTCTCTGAATTCATTTTTTCTGCTGTAAAATAATTAGAAAAATTAAGGATAAAAAAAAATAAATAAATGGATCAAATCCAAGTGTCTGTGTCCTTTTTCATTGCATTGAATAGTAACAACTGCCACAACAAAAGATAGCCTATCAGAAGTGGATGTAGCCACTATGAAAAAGCAAAAAGCCTGCACTCTTCCAGGCCAGCAGGGGGCAACACCAGTGGTAACACAAAAGGGTGTACTTTTAAAAGATGTTGACAATAGGTACAAGTTAACTTCATTTGTGGGCTGACATGGTTCACAGTGAGAGAGTCAGTCTTTGTTTTACAATAAATAAACTGATTAATGTAAATAAATAATAAACTAGTTAAACGACTCAACCAGCAAATGCACGTTTTGTTAAAAGCCATCCTTTAATGAGATGTATACTAAGACTATTTTTACAGTAAAGTCCATAAAGTTCTCCTCCTCCTCCTTCAGTGTGGAAGTCTCCAGAGTTTTCCAGCCCATACGGCCCCGTAAGACCCGTGTATATGTCAGAGGAGGAAACTGCCTGCCTGTCTGGACACTTGGAGCAGTATATCTCTGACCCCACTGGGCCACTACTGCCCCGTCTGCCTGTGATGTACTACAGAGGTGGAGGTTGATGAATGGAAAGAGGATGCTGAGCCCTCCCACGAGGGTTATTGACCACAGAAGTTTTCTTCTTTGTGCTTGTTTAAGTCGTTTTAAAGCACCATATAGACTAGTAGTTTCCTAATTCAGCTGGCACAGGAAAACTTGACACTGTTCCTGGTGTAGTATATTATAATGCATGCAAGGCCACAATCCACCAAGCGTTAAATGTCTTCTGGTGGTGGGAAAAAATTCAAAACTGTTCAGTTTTCCAAAGATTTTTCAAAGTTTCCTGAATAAAATGCTGCTCAGGTGTTCGAAATATCACTGTACACCACCATAAAGAGATCAAATACCACATTTCTCTTACTTGTCAGGTAATGAACCATGAGAAAATTAACCTGCAACAATTGGACTCATAAAAAAGACAATGGGAAATCTTTATCCAGGGTCAGATTTTGGATTTGCAAAAACATGGAAGATCTGCAGCCTCTCAGTTTGTCAGAGGGGTCAGATCAGTGGGGGCAGGGATGATATAATAATAACGCACTGATCTGATAGGTTGCCTGAAAGCTGTCAAAAGGAAAGGCTGCAGAAAAATGCAGAGGTGTAAAACCACAGTATGTTGAGTTCTTCAGAAGAACCCAAGAACCCAACTAGCACATGGCACTGTGACCCAGAAACTGACCCTGAACAGGAAGTGTAAAAGTGTTGCAGTCATGGGAACAAAACCATGTCTCTGAGTGTTTTGATATAACATGAGTGTCATTCATGTTGGGGCATCTGTGTTCACATTCTTGCTTGGGTTGCTTAGTTAGTGAATGACTTCAACATATAGGAAAGATAATTCATATCTTTCATAATGGGACCTCTGATTCCCAACTCTAGAGTGTATGCAGGACTTCAGCTGGCAGTCTGGTGTATTTGAAATACAAAACATGGTGTTTGTTCCCGTCCTCAGCCCCTCAGAAGTAATAAAATATACCTAAACATGTTGAATGGTGACCTACATAAATATTTTATGCTGCTGTCAGAAAAATAAACCTACCTACATCCATGATGTGATTTGGAAAAGAGAAAAAAAAAACCTTACATCAAATCTTATAAACCAAAGATTTATTTTGCTCCATTTATCTCTCTAGTGTCAGTAAGTAATCTGTCATGTCTGAGATGTTTCTCCATCCTCTATCTTTACTTAAAAAGACTCGTACATGAGAGAAAGAAGAACAAAATCAAACAAGAGTTTCAAGAGAAACATTTGGCATTGTTGAACCGCTCTCACTGGAAGTCACTTTCACACACCACACTCAGAAGGTTATGCACAGGTTTCATACTGAAACTTAAACCTGATCAGATCATCACTGCTGCAGAGATGAGCGAATCTGGAGTTGAATCGTTTCCCAGTGTCATGCAGGATTTTTGATGTATGGCTGGTTAGCATCCAGAGATGTTTGGCGGGGAAATCAAAGAGGAGGACTGAGGGAGATAAGGGAAGAGGAGGAAGAAAGGAGGCCCATTTTTTGATTGCCCCCATGTGAATAAGCATGATATGTTCTATAAGATGAATACCCCAAGGCTTTCTTCAGCAGAGGTCATTTTACTGAGAAGTTTGACTGACTGTCCCAGACTCCAGCTGGCATTTGCATGAATGTATGCGGCAGATTGAATTTCATTTATGCTCAGATTGAAACTTTGGTCCAATCTTGCAGACAGAACTGTATGGAGGCTGAAAATCTCATTGGCAGAGTTAAACCTCACAGAACCAGAGATTTCTGGGCAACATTTGTCTCTGAAAGTCTTGCTTTGCTTGATCATTTCCAACCCATTCTCACCTCAGAAACTTCAAAATACCACGCACACCAGGTGTCTCTGTATTCCTGAATTGGATCCACTTCACTACTTTAATGTTTTGATGAGTAGAAGAAGAAAAGTGAAGCAGTAAGAAGAGAGAATAAGTCTACTTGGTTGTGGTCAAACATACAGGATGAGTGCAATCAAGTCAACGACGCTCTCTGCAGGAGAAAAGCCCAGCTCAGTTTTCCAATTGTCACCAGATCATTGGTTTATCAAGTATGTTATTCAGTCCAGGCTGATTTAAAACAAGTTTTCTGAAGTCTTTTTGCAACCTGCTAACCTTGTCTCTTTGTGTGACCAGAGCTCTGTGTGACCAGTAAACCAGATTCAAACTCCCAGCTCCAGGACCCCAGACCAGCCAGCCTCTGATTGAAATGACTCTTGGAAACTTTGATCACACATCTTCTCGGGACCACAGGAATCTCTGCCACAGGAACTCAGCTCTCAGTGCCAGAATCCTTTTTTTGCAAATCTGATTAATCCATTAAATACTGTTTTCAATCTCAGTTTGGGTCAATATTGTTGGTCCTAAACTGTGTTCTCCATGATACCTCTGAAACTCATGATGTCAATTTTCATTATCTGTTTCATTTGTGCTTCCAGAAAACTCGTTTGATCTGGTCAATCACTGCTTGGCCCTTTAAAATGATAGGGTAGGTTCCACTTTAGCTGCCGGATGAATAGAGATCATCTCGAAATATACAGGATGCTGAAAAAATAACTGCATTGTTCAAAGGATCGAGTCAAAAGACTAATCCTGGTGACACTTAATCTGCAGGTATAATCTGATGTTAGTTCAGCGGGCCACAGGGTTTCAGTCACAGAAAATTTGAGAAAGAATAAACAACAGTAGATATAAAATAAAATGCTACGATAATAGCCGGTAATGAAACCAGAAACCACCTGGCTTCCCCGACATTTCAGCACAGATACTTTATATCGGCATTATGTATCCTGTGATGGCCGTGCAGACCTCATCGCGCTGATATGAGAACAGCGTGCGGCCTTGAGCAGCGGTAGTGAGACGATCGCGGGGCATGCTAAACATATTATGTGAGTTTACGAGCGAGCAGCGGGAGGCTGGCAGGCTGGAAGACAGAGGAAACAGGAGGAGGAAGACCCGCTGTCCATAAACAGAGGAGGGTGAGCGTGTGGGAGTCAGAGCGGGAAACCTCCAAATTAATCTACCGTGTCAGATGTACTGGTAGTTTGTTAACTGAGCAGTTAGTTTTTTTAGTTTCTTATTTTCTGGTCTTTGACTGTTGCATTAGCTTTTTTTTTCAGTGACACATCAGGCTCCTGTGTTGCTCAGTTTATCTCATCTCTTAAAATATGTTAAACCCCCTGATTGGGTGCAGATTAGTGAGAGTTGGAAAAGTATATATACAGGCGTACAGTTTCACTCCATAAATCTGGTGTCCCCTGCAGAGAGAGATGAAACTACCTCCTATAGAGCTGCATGGTTGGACAGAGAGAGCCTCGTATATCATATCAGCACCAGATGGACAACCTTACAGCTCTATCTCTGGATGCTGATTCGTACCTGTCTTTCCCTTAGTGTCCAAATATTCTGCATGTCTCTCTGGTGGAGTCAGATTTTAGATAATAGGGTCATCAAATTAAGGATTTCACTAAAATTAGCCTGGAACACACATAGGGTGTCCAGTGTAAGGAACTATTTGACTATTGTTGTTTCTATTGCTGTTTAAAACTTTATTTTCTCTATCTACTTCTCTGCTGTTTAAGCAATTAACTGTGAGAAACTTTGATCCGCAGC